CTTCTTCCCTCGGGTCGCTGCGTCGTTCCATGCAGCCAACTGCACGTCGTCGAGTGGAAAGGAAGCGTGAAAGAAACCCGGTGGGAGTACCGAAGTGATCGTTTGATTTTTCACTGGGTGTGAAGTTGGTTTCGCGTGGTGTTTGTCGCGCCAGGAGTTCCGCGACGCGCGCCGTTTTCTTTTCTTTTACCACGTCGAATGGCCCCGCGCGTCGGCGAATATGCTGTAGACGAGTAATATCTGTCGTTTATCGTGAATACTGGTGCGTCGTTGCTCGAAGTGCGTGGGAGGAAGAGCAGACCGAGAAACAGGAGGGAATATTGTTAGACCAGTGGTGAATAAGTGTGGATGTGAGTGACAACGGCCGCGATTACAGATCGCGTATTCCTGAGTATCCACGGACGAATCATCAGCCTAGCAAAATGATGGGGAAGAGAACGCAGTGTTACTTGTGCGATCTGCCCAGGATGCCCTGGGCCATGATCTTGGACTATTCGGAGCCTGTGTGCCGCGGTTGTGTGAACTATGAAGGCGCCGACAGAATAGACTTGGTGCTAGAGTCCGCGAAGCAAATGAAGAAGGCGCACGGCTTCCAAGAGGCCAGGTCTTCGACGTCCAAAGCGTACAGGACGACCGGGCACACGGAGCACAACGGTGGCACGAATCTGGACGTCCTGCCGATACAGAACACCGGCCAGAGCCACTCGAGGCATCACAATATCGCCGGTTACTCGCAACTTCATCACCGGAACTCGATCACCGAGTTCAACTCCGGCACGTCGAGGCTGACTGCCGCCCGTCAGCACGAGGAAACCCACGAGATCCAAAATGGCATTAGGAGTAACAACGTAAGACTGCCGAACGCCCACATGGCCGCAGTCGCGCATCACGTGAACCTCAGCCACACCAGGGGCATCGCGCAGCTGAAACGCGGCATATCCACTATCGACGAGGACGAGCACGCGGAGAAGAGGCTCTCCTTGGAGGAACAGCATCCGGTCAGACCACCATTGACCAGGGGTGATTCCCTGCCAGCTGTGAGCCTGGCCGTCAGCTACGTTCAGGACAGAAGTAAGGAGAAACATCCCGTGAGGGCACCCAGCTTCGACACCGCCACCACATTTAAGTCCAACGGTGAGTCCCACAGATGGCGGGATTCCTCGACGCTCACGTTACATTTCCGCCGCCGTAAATAATAATGGCCGTGTCACCAGACAGAGACAGAGCCCCCCATTATTCTCAGAATTTTGTAGCCAGCTGAAAGCAGTCACGAAAATGTATTTCTTCTCGCAACCGCTTTCAGTTTATTGATCTCCATGCAGGAAGCTAATCTCTCCTCGGTCAAAAGAAAGTCGGAAGACAGTGTATATATGTAGATACACATACTATGGATGTTTCTTGAGATTTTCCATCGTTCGAATCTTCTAACAATTGCAACTTAACACTAGAACTACCAAATTGGTCAAAATGATCCATTCCTTGATTTTTTCTTTTATTGAAGAGGTACGAATACCTCTGAAAAATTACTAAAAGAGCTGATTAAGTAATAGCTGAAATTTCAATCAATTCAAACTGTATAATGAAATTTTCAATAGTTAGTAAGTGCTCGGTAGTTTTAGTATTAAACGATCATCCAAATGATAACGTTTCGTTAGTCCTTATTTATATGGTGGCTCGAACGAACGTATCTTGAACGTTTTTCAAGCGAACGGCGTTTCGCGCGGTTGTTATCGGCGCGTAGTAAAAATAGAAATACGTTTCGGTCGTCCGCGTGGCCATCTGGCAGGAGAAAAGAGCCGCATGCGTGCGTTAAAAGACGCGTGCTCAGCCTTTCGAGCTTCGAAGAATCGTCACGGTTAAAGGAAGTCGCGTTTTCACCCTTCTCTCTCTCTTTCTGCAACGATCGCCTTGGCGCAGCCGGCCAGAGCCTCTCTCTCCCTCTCTCCCACCCTCTCTCTCTCTGTCCCTCTTTCGCGTCTGTTTCGCAGCCGGTTCCTTCATTCTGGACGAGAACGGCAGTCGTCCAAACGCGTATAAAGGAGACGTACGTTGAGCACGTGATGGGACGACCAAAAGATACACCGAGTTTGCCGTGCCGTGACGTCCGATCGAATGACGTCACACGGTATATTTAGATACAATGAATGAGACCGTTGTTGCTTTATTACGAATCTCATCGCGGGGGAGATCATTTTGCGAGTATAATTCGATTAGCGGATCCAGAACGTCGCTGTTAGGTTAGGTCGGTTTTCATAACGTTACTGTCGACAATAATACTTCGTTTTTGCAGTCCGATGCCCTTCCACCGTGTATTATGTTTCATGGACTAAGTCCCGCGGTTTACCTATTATGGGCCGACGAGCGTCAGTTATTACTTTCGAATGTCTACGCGGCGTGGCGCGGAATCTGAATTTCTTATTTCCACATTGAAATGCGTTCCTACTGTTAATTCGATCGTATCGGTGCAGCACTTTCGTGAAAACCGGTTCGCGTCCGCGGCACAATTATTTCTCCACATCGCGAGAAAGGTAACTGTAGTGTGGCCCCCTTTTTCTTGCGCTCTTTTTCGTAGTAGGCTCTCATTGACGAGGCAGTTGAAACGCGAAGCGTTTACCGCCCGTACGTACCTACGTACAGTTTGGGTGACCTTGGTCATCGACCGTTATTTCGACACTGGCCACTTTCTAATTCGACCTTAACGCGTGTGTTTACGGTTATCGAATGGTCGGCTCGGTTGCAGTGATTATAAGCGCGTGATCGTCTATCCTGTTCTATGTCGGATCACGCTGGAAATATATTTTTTTAAATTTTCAATCTCAAATGAAACAACAATCTGTCTCGATCGTATCTAGTAAATAATATTCACTCAGCATGCGACTTCACCGAAACCGTTTGCAATACTTTTTATCGAGGAAAGCAGATATTGGTTTTTTTTCTTAATTTCTATTTAATGTTTGTTATAATATAAAAATTATAGTAAAAATAATCTGTTGAACTTACCTAACGTGCAATATAGATTCGTCCAGTAAAAGTAACGCGAACGCTGGAGTAAAATATAAAAAAGGAAAGTATATACCTTATTAATGAATAAATTGTAAACATTCGCTGGAGTTAATATTGCGAACGGTTAAAATTATGTTTCTTCGAAGTAACGGAATAGTCGTCCGTTTTACCTCGCTTCAGGTATTTTTCTGTTACCTGACCTTAAAGCGTTCGCGGCTCGTAGGTAGAACGCCGTAGTAATTAATAGTTATTATTAGCTTCGAAAATGGCCTAATGAAAAACTAAACGTTAGGTTCTTTGTTCGGGAGATCTAACGGGTTTTTTGAAAACCGTTCCATTTAAATGACTGGCAGAACCGCGGTAGTCGTGCGCCGAACTAGGTATTTTACAAACTGAACGCACGGTCCGCTGTACGATAAAGAATTCCATTCCTAGCCGTACAGAGAGATTTAGCCAACCGTTAATACTCGTTAATGCTATTGAACGAGCCTAGCACGGTATAGGCTAGCATTCCCACAGAAAAATTTATGTTCCAGCGTATTCATTAAAAAACTAGTTTCTCCTTCTTTTCTTTTTTATCGTCGAAGGCAACGTTTCCGTTCGAAAGATAAAATTCGCGTTTACGTGCGCGCGTTAAAAATAGACCACCGTGTTGGCAAAGAGGTTAGAATTCGGAAATGAAACGCGAGATATGATAGAAAGCTCTGACAATTCCGCCGCCATGTTTTTCCCTTTCGTTACGCTTCCCGCGTGATCCTGATCAAGACTACTCGAGTCGATAAGTCTAGCCGAGGAACCGTCGAGATTACGTAGCGGCCGAGTTTTATCGCGCGACGAGTTTCGTAATTGCCTCCGTTACACGTTGCGAATTTTAATAAACGGCTTATACGGTATCGTGAGCAGACGTAACAAACACGAACGCCATCCTCGCGCGCCCTTATCGCGTGAAACAGTCGTGTCCCGATACAATTCTGTGCAAGTACCATTATTCGGTATCGCGTGCCCACGACGACGTTTATTTGGCCGGCTATTCGTATTTATTGCTCATTTCACTTTATCCATGTATATTACGCTCTCCCGTCACTCAATTCCTCCGTAAAGGGGGTTAACTTAGGCGAAGTATCCCCCATTCCCGCTAATGGAGAGTAAATGTACAAAAGGCTCGCGGAGTACCAATTTTCTAGATTAATGCTGAAACACGTTCAACCAAGCACTCCATCATACGCTATTTTCTTATTATTAATTTTCGCCGTTGTTTCGAATTCCCCTTCTATCGGCTACACGATAAGTGGTTTTCGGAATGACGAAGAATTTAGATCAGTGACGTATCGTTTTACCCACGATTGATTGGTCTAGTGCATTTATAACCTCGCGCGTGTGTTATATGCTAAGGAGAGGCTGGTGAGAAACGATGGCTGTCAACGGTAGTAACAAGAGCGGAGAGTCTATCTTGTTTCGAAATGATCGCCACGCTGCGCGAGTTCCTCGACTACACTCCATCGATCGCGTACAGATACAGTGGCACCACGTATACATCGGTTTCGTGCTACGTCACTGAACGATTATCGCGTTCGTCCCGCCGCTGGTGCGTGTCTCTTCGTGTGCTACATACCGGGTGGTCGTACAAGAGTCTCGTCGAGTTAAATTTAACACTAAAACTATCGAACGGGTCAAAATGACCCATTCCAGATTTCTTCTTTCCGCGATCATTAAAAAAATAGCACATTCTTTTCTGGGAGTTATTAAAGAAATTGATGTGGCAATATGCAAATTGAATCATGAATCAGTTAGTCTCAATAGATACTCTCGAAGTTTCTATAGAGAAGTTTCGAAAAGTCAGTTTCAGTAAATCCTACAATTCCTGTAACATCATATTATCTCCTAAACATATTCATAACTATTCAGCATGAACTTGCTTCTTACCAGCTAAATTTCTACCGTCGTAAAATCTTTACAACGAAACTATTGCCTCATCTCGCAAGTTGTCCCCGTGAATATAGAGCTCTCAACCGTCAAACGTCATCGAATCAATTTTCAGGATCATCGTATGCAGACAGCGTCATCCTCGAACGCTTGTCAACAATGAAAGTAACGTTCGGTCCATACCGTCGAAACAAGGCCACCGTATATAGTTAACCGGTTAGCAGTGATATACCGAGTGTGACTAAGCCGGCCGCCTACGTGCATGATGCGATGTTGTCTGTTATAAAGCCGCGCATGCGCGCCGCCTCTGTCGGACTCGTTCTCCTCCCGGACCCGCGTGCGCGCGCGCGCGTCCACCATTTTTCCTTCGCTTCCTCCGACCGCGCGCGCTACGTTTCTTCGCATGATTCGAGATAGATATACGGAGAGAGAGGGATACGCGACGGCGGCCGGTCCTCGCTCTATCAAAGTCGCGTCACGGAAAAGTACCGGTCACACGACTTCTCGATGACAAACCGCGACAGAGCGCGGCGCACACGCTTGCCAGGCACACATAGGCGCACGCACACGCTCTTTCTAGCCGAGGAGAGACCTCGGGTGACTCGTACGTTGGACAGCCGCGTGGTGGGGGTTAAGTACGTGCGCACGGATGCTGCGTTGCACTGGAATAGCTGGATAGGAGATATCGCGTGTCACGGTCTCCTGTCTCTCAGCCACGGAACGTGACGAAATCGTGCCTTTTAATATCGATTCGTGGTTATCTCTCGTGGCCGGGGGAATGCGTTTCTCCGCGTGGAGGTTCGGAAACGTGTAAACACCGCGGGGGAAAAATAACCGAGCCGATAACCGGGGAAAGAAATAGCACGTTGTCAGTAAATTCCGTTGCGTAGGATCGATAACGCTGAATGGATAAATATTATCGTGAACACGCGACGGGGATGCCTTCGGAAATTTCTGTTGAAGCTAATCGGCCCCGTGGAAGCCTGCAGGAATTTTGCTCGTCGAAATCACGCGCGACTTTCTTGGGAATTAGAAAGTCGCTCATTGATTGTCCGCAGTGAATGAATGCCGGGATTTATTATAGCGCCGCCGTTTATGTATAGGTCCCGTTGGTTTTCTCATCGAGGAGGAAACTTGAATAGGTTAGGTGTTGCCGCGTTTCGAATATACGAAAATTTTTTGGTCGCGTTGTTGCACGGGAATTATTTGTCCAGGGTCGCAATGGTGGTTTAACACGTGGTCGAGGCAAATATTTTTTCCTTGGTAAATATTGACGTAACAGTTTAGTAAATTCGAGAAAATAAGCGTTCGCGGTTGTTTGTTGACCTTTCTTAATGTATAATCGATTCGTCGAAGGAAAAACGGGCTTTCAACGTCGGCGAACAGATTACGTTTTCATGGAATGCTAAGCAGCCAGCTAAAATGCGTGCAGATCGTTCCAACGATCGAATTTAACGAAATTAACAATGTAAAGTGACATTATGCTATTCTTCGAATACTTTGTGTTTATTTATAATCGAGTAACTCGTCGTTGACGTCTACCATTCTGTCACAATATGTCTGAATACGCAGCTTTATGGTTATACAAGATCAATTAATTTACTTAAAGGCAAATTATTACTTGTTTCCCTTCTACATTGCATGGAATATTTTTATCCGATTAAAGAAAACGCAATAGCCTGCAAATTTTTATATATCACGAAAATTTTTTTTTACTTATCGCCATAGAGAAGCGTTAGCGTCATCGTGTAATGTTATACAGTATCGTGGACTATATGATAAGGTATAGTAGATTAGTAAGGAAGTATAGCTTTTTGTGATAATGCGTTATCTAAGGTATTATACTATTTGATAGTATATTTTTCCATATGATAGTACGCGATGACACGTGATATTTTAATAACATATCTTATTTTCCAATAGCATATAACACTATACGATAAACTGTAATATCTTATAACATTAAACACAATCATAACGTACGGTGCTGTATGATAACGCATGATAACAAAATATCATGAAAAGTGAGCGACACAATGAATTATACAATACCAAATAATTGTATGTAATGCAGTATGTTACATGCTATTTTATTATAGCATATGATACTGCATAACAATACAAACCTCTTACGTAGCGTGCTACCATTGTTACGCCAGTATCTTGCATTATCAGTATAAATATACGTTACCAGCGTGGTGTCATACGAATGGATTTATGCAATGGATTTCAATATACACGTGCACCGGGTGTTAATGATCCGTTCAGCCGAAGTGTCCCGGGATGTCACAGAAACACCTTCGGTAAACAATATCAAAATGCGTAACCTCGTAACGCCCTGTAGTATTCAGGCCCAACCGAGGATACTCTACATTCTACGGCGTGTACCGGGCGACGGGTCGCGGTCATGAAAAGTAAATAAGCCACGAAAAGCATTCCGCGCGCATACAACCCGGCAGTGCCACCGATGCCGAAGGCACGTCGTGTTCCCTCGATTACGGCGCGCGTCTCCCCAATGGAATATAAATCCCCGGTCGAAGTAATATTGAAATTCGAGCGACTTAACGGGTAGGCCGATAATTCAGCCGCGTTACGTCCGAAGAAGTCGGTCGAGCCTATTCGCGCAGTTCTGTCCGGAAGAAACGAGGTCCCTGACGCAACTGGGTATACCCTCGTCTACTAGATACTTGACGTCTAGGCTGAGGAATGCCGGTTGTCAGTTTTCATCTTTCATTATGTCATGTTCGATACCAATTTGCTATTCGATATGGTTACTAAGCGATCAAAATTAACCCTTTGCACTCGAAAGTTTTTCACTAGAAATCTTCAACGTTTCCTGACGAGACAACATTTTTAGAACTAACTTATCGAGAAATAATGCGTAAACTGAGAGACGAAGATATTTTATTCAATATTCAACACATTGATGCATTATGCAAAATTTAATGTTGAACATTCAACTTTATAACTTTGCTATATCAAATGAAATGGTGTACAAAGGGTTTAGAATAGAATACGTAGTCAGAGACACCTCTTGCCCCTGTGTCTTGCTAGATAAATTATATTCTAACGCGTGGGCAATGAAGATAGAAAGGAAAATTCGTTTTTTTTGTGTGTGTACTGTCGTGACGCGTTTTCCTGGAAAGGAGCAAAGGATATCTGTCTTTTCACTTTGACTTGTTTCTTGTAGAAAAAGAGATTGCGCAGTATGAAAGATTCGGATCGTTTCTGAGAAACGCGGAAGCAAATAGAAAGACGCAAGTGATCTCTCTCTGGTGTATAGACACGGCCAATCGTTCGGTTACGTTGCAAAATAGATCGGTTGCCTTTTTTCTTTTATTTCGACGAAAACATAAGCGAACGATCTACTGGATTTATCAAATTTCAGTAGCATATGTCGGCCCCTCGATCCCGCTGGCGCCGGCAAATGTGGCGGCGAACGGAGGCGGCTCTCCGCTTCGTCCACGAACGAGCCCACCGCCACCGCCACCACCTGCCCAAGAAGGGTCCAACGATAATCCGCAATCGAATCACCACCAGGTAATTAAGGCTCGCATGCTAATGAAGTTGAATACATTTGCATGTTGATGTCTCTTGAAAGATTCAACGATCTTTCTTGCGAGGCTGTTTTATTTATAAGTGTTTGTGTCTGCAATGGAAATTGAACGTAATTTTATCGTTCAGGGTTCGACGAATGGGCCATCACCGATGGCCGCGCTCATGTCCGTCGCCGATAATCTGGCGTCGCCCGAGTCAGTGCCACAACCACCGAACAATCCAAGCCCAACAAGCAGAAGCCCGCCAACTACCGCTACCAATGCTCAACAACGCAGTGCCTCTAGAAGTTCGCAACACAGCCCTAACAGTTCAGGTGAGGAAACCGATTGAAATTGAATATTCGTTGCTGTCGGTTCACTTCTGGCAATGCCCGCGAATATATTCTAAGAAACATGTTATATTGGTGTTGCAGGCGCGTCGGGTAGGAGGTCCACTGGAGGCTCAAGGCACGTGTCGTCCACGACCGTAACGACATCGTCGGAGGGAGCTGTCGCCCAGGTCGCTGGCGCGGAACAAGTGTCAGCACCAATTTTGAAATGCACCCTATGTCAGGAACGCCTCGAAGATACGCACTTCGTTCAGTGCCCAAGTGTGCCACACCACAAATTCTGCTTCCCGTGCAGCCGGGAGAGCATAAAGAGACAGGGCGCCGGTTCAGAGGTAGGTGTTCCACTCTGTTGTTCACTGGATCGTGATTGGCATTCCAATCGAATCCGATCCGATGTGTAGATACTGCCGAGCTAACTACCGTTAGCCCGGTTTTAACACTCTTAATTTCACCGGAGTCAATTCCCGTGGTCGTTTCAGGTTTACTGCCCGAGCGGAGAAAAGTGTCCACTGGCGAACAGCCAAGTGCCATGGGCATTCATGCAAGGCGAGATCGCCACCATTTTGGGCGACGACACCACAGGCTCCGGCTTGAAGGTGAAGAAGGAGAGAGAAACTTAAAGATTCTCGCAAAACGTTTAATCGGGGCTCAAATTTTGCACCCTCGCCAGACGAGGGTATAATCATGGTGGAACCGTGAAGGTTCAACTGAAATTCTACAATTTTGGTAATGGTGATACATGTTGGCGGATTGTCGGCCAACATATCTCGACTCGAGCCAAAGACGTTGTCGGTGTTAAATTGGATTTTCACGAGCGTTGTCGGAACGCATTGTTGGGGAAAGTGGACGAATTTTCGTTTCCGGCGGGTCGTGGGTGCGCGCGTGCGCGTTTCACGATCGCCGGTGTGGTTGGTCAGTTCACGGAAAAGGTAACGATAAGTTTCGGTCGGATCGAATTTGTTCGATCAATTGTTTTTTGACTGGTCTTGAGAAGAAGTCTTTGGCAATTTTTGCACGCTGGCGCCGGTCATGCATACACAGACATACGTACACACGCATACACACTTACACACTTACACACATACACGCACATACAGATTTACACACGAAACAAGCAAGCGTTGTACATACAGGATGATTACTGTAGAACGGTTAACCCCTTGCCGTACAAATATTGAGTCACACTCGTTTGAAACTTCTGAAACAGAAGTTACAAAAATTAAATGTCACTCAATTATCTTGGGTTCAAATTAAAATACCATTTTTTCTGTTATTATTATGTTTCGAAGTAAAGGCGGACACAGATGAATCGAGGATGTTTCTTTGCTCGTTGATCAATCGTAAAGGACAAAACTAACCCAGCGAGCGCGGTTACAAAGGATAATTCATAGGGCAAGGGGTTAATGCGCGAGGAATAAAATGAAAGACGCACGTGGTTTTTTGGTCAATTCTGTACGAATAATCTTAAAGATACGTCGCGGAGAAAGAGATTAAGTGTCCAGTTTGGGTTTGTACTTAGGCTCAGCGGCAGCCTTTATTGTTTGTCGTATCGCGAACGCATTCGCGATTCATTTTTCATACTTTCTGTTTTCTTTTTTCGAAGTACAGCAACGTACCGCCAAGTGGAGACTTCCCGCGGCACACGGACGTAGGTGTCGCGCGGCGAGTAACACGTTACACGAACCACGTACACGCGTACCACATGTACACGTATACACGTGACGCGATTTACCGTGAAACAATTGAACGGTTGTGTATTGTACTTTATTTTTTAAATGACACTGATATTTGCGATTAACCGAAGCCTAACGCGTTCGGTGGTTGGAGCCGATCGGCAGGAGATTCCGATCGGTTCGGTCCTTTTCTAATCTTTTATTTGTATACTCTTTCTACTGTTACACTCTCGTGTTGTATCATAAAAGAAAGGAAAAAGCATTGCGGACATATTTAGACCCTGCGTACGGGTTTTTTCTTGTACATTGTGTATATGTGTACATACCACATTATTAATAAAACTTATGACTAAAGGAGTAACCATTTTTAAATGTACAAAAGGAAAAAACTTACATTCGTTTTTGCGTGTTCTCTATTATCGATTTAAATTATTTCTTTTCTATTTTTTTTCCTTTCGTTCTTCTCTCATTAATTTCTTTTTCGCTCTATATCTCGTTTCGAGCAATTCGAATTTAAGGGAACCGTACGTCTAGAGAGATCGTCTCTTCGTATTTGACTTTATCTCTTCTTCCTTTTTTTTTGTTTTTCGTTCCGTTTCATTCTCATTTCGCGAAAGACGCTCGAACGCGTATATTTACCGTCTTTTTCAGTTTCGATCGTTATCCTCTCGAGGACTCTTGTACACACACTGTTTCGTAAGTCGCATCACTTGCCGCGAAACTCGTCCGGGTATTTCGAGGAGCATTCGGCGAAGCATCGGGGGAGCTTTGGGGAGGACGGGTGGTCGGGCGAGCATCGTTTCTTAATCCAGTCACGCTCGAAGGAAGCAAAACTAAAAGGGGGAAAGAAAAACAAAATGAAGAAAAATGAAAAATAAAAAAACGGAACGATTATCCGATCGTGTAACGTCCACTTTCGCCTTTAGTTTAATCGCTAGACTTTAAGTGCGAGGGCCTTTTGGTTTTTCATTTTGCCGATGAAAAAGGAAAGAAGTACGCCCGTCAAATAGGAACCATACACTCGCTATGTTTAAAATGGAAAAAATGAGTAAAAGAGAAAAAGCGTTTAAAGGGAAGACGAAAACGAAGATGGTACGAACCGACGAGGAAGAAAAGAGAAGGATAATGGAAAAAATGCAGAAAGACGCGTACACGGTTCTCGCTCGCGTTCGGGGAATCCCCGACGCGTTCAACGGACGCGCGGGGATCGTCTCGTACGCCGGCGGTTCTTTTTTGTAAATAAATATATATTTGTACAAAACGGGGGAAAAGAAAGGAAGACGAATCGGCACACGATGATGATGGAGGAGCGGCGATCGATGAGAAGGGGGAGGATGAAAATAATAACGTTTGCGGGACCGTATCGCGATCCGCGCGTCGCGGAGAGCGAGCGGGTCCACCATTTTGTCGCGGCCATTTTCGGATCGATCTCGATCGCGAACCCCGGCGGCTGTTTGATTTTTAAACCGTTGTTTCGCGGAAAGGAAACAACGACCGAAACCCGTAGAGGCTATCTGCGTAGGCGTAAGCAACAAACACTTATGTACCGAAATATCGCGGAGCATTGTTCGCGAGGAGAACACGGGAGAGAGAGACTGAGAGCGAGAGCAGTGAGAAGAAAATAGAAAAAAAGAGCGAGAAAGAATGGCGATCGATGAAGGCGAAACGAAGAGAGGAAGACGCTCGAACGAGAATCGAAGGGCCGGCGTTGATCGAGAAAAGATAAACGGAGCACAATTTGATCGTAGCAATACTTTACAGAGGCTGTACGTGATATTTTTTAGTCCCGGGCAGGTAGTTCCTACCTTCGATGTCAAACGTTGATTACGGCACTCGTT